CTTCACTAAGGTTTACTTTGATGTCTGCTCCTCTAGTTTTTAGGGTGTTAGAAATGCCTTAAGATCCTTCTGGATATGTTTCCGCTTCATCTTCATCATTTTCGGTGGGGTTTCCATAGAGGTGTTGAATATGCCCATCGTAGCAAGACGTGAAGGTTGTGGTGGCGTTGTGAAGATGGTCTTTCTTTCTGGACTTTGACATTTTTTGGTTTTTACAGGCACTTATTTACCTTTTGCCTCGTATTGGTATTTGTTGAGGTATAAAATGAAGTACATTCAGGTGTTTTCTCTATTAAAAAATGCCGTGCAAACTGCTGAGCCAGTGTAAAACCTGCTCGTATGGGGTTGTAAGAGCATCTGCAGCCGGACATAGTAAATATGCCCCTTAGCCCGCGGACGCGCCCGGTCAGTGACCGGGCATGTCCGTTTTGAGCTTTTGTTTATCAGTCAGCGCAGCCACATTTTTTATTTTTCTTCTCATATGTCCGGTCACTTGCATGTGATTGGTGAAGATAAAGAAAAAGAAAAAAAATGAATAAAGAAAGAGAAAAGATGGTCCGGAGTGAGGCTGTGTCCTACGTGGCGGAATGCCCAGCCGCGTCCGCGAGCCCTCATATCCTCCCCATATTTGAGATGAATATGAGGGTTCGCGGACAGCCCGGCGTATAGGAATAATATGAAGGGTCCGGTTAGGTCATGTTTTTTCTTGTCTCTCCTGTTCGACCAATGACCGAGCACATTCGCGGACGTATGAGGGATGATTTCCCACGTCCGGTTGTAGATGCTCTAAGACCATCAACCAATTTTGATGTTGCAACCCTACCTGCAAGGACGATTTCCATCGAATAACTTGCATACGGTAACAGAGATTGTCGACCTCGCGACAACATAATTTGTCTAAAAAATGTTTGATTTATCATGCTTAAACATCTGACCATTGCCGTTTCTTTTTGGTCGTGAATGCCCTCCGGTCCTTCCGCTCTGGTTTGCCCCCGGTATAGCTCGATCAGATCGATCGTTTTTTGTCCGCGCGTGCGTGAGGAGGCTGGCGACCAGAAGCAGAAGCAGAGGAGCGCGCGGTGCAGACGGGGAGAAAATTCCACGCGCTCCACCCGTGTCCCTGCGCCGCTGCGTCGCCGTGCTCGGCCCGATCCTCGATTCTCCGGTGGATTTCTGCACCAGATCCTCCCATCATCGCCCCGCGTACCGCACGTCAGGGCGCCGCTGTTGATCAGACAGTCTCGTCGTCAGACGGTTAGAGCATCTGTCTCCTTCACGTAGGAAATCGGCACCGCTTGTCATATTCTGCTCCGCTGCCGTGCGCGGCCGCCGCCCTCACGCCTCTGCAACTGCAAGCGGCCACCACCACGGCCACAGCGGCGGCGCCCTCTTGTACCGGAGCACGCACAGGCACAGGGTCAGAACTCACGGCGCCATCTACTCCCTCCGTTTCAAATTAAATTACTCGTCGTGGTTTTAGTTCAAATTTAAAACGGAGGGAGTACATCGCTTCGGCCGATTCATCCCCTCTCAACCCCTTCTGGTTGTAGTACGAGTTCGTTTCTTTCTCCGGGGACTTCGTCATGCATCCGTTCTCTTACGGCAGTCGGTGTGCATTTTAGGCCAGCGCATCCTCTCTTCCAGTCCGCTAGGTTGGTTCGCCGACCGATTTTGTTGCTATGCGGCGCCCTGCAGCTCCGATCCATGCCCAGATAGGTTTCTTCTTCTTCAGCCCCCAAAATCCATGCATCCTGATTGGGTCCATCCGTGCCCTGCGCGAGCACGGAACCCATTCCCTGTCTGAGTGTAGAGTAGACATTCGGCGTTCTTGTGCCGATTTGTGATGTGGAAGTAGCTTTGGGAAGTAACTACAAGTCGTAGCATTGGCTGTTTTATATTGAGCGGCTCAATTTAGGCGCATGCCACGCGTCGCCCGCCCGGGTAGTGTCCTAGACACTTGTAGGATTATCGCAACACTAACCATGCTGCGGGCAACCATTGCAACATGGACCATGTTGTGGACACTCGCCTTTAGCTTGCGTGACATTCATTATTTGGGCCTTTTGTCATCCAATGCACCATGATCCATATTATGGTGACTCATTGCAACATGGACGATGTTGCAAACCCGCCTTCCCATCAACAAAGCCTCTCCTGGCGGCAACATCATCCATGTTGCAGTTGTCTCCGACGTTCCATGATCACAACATCTCACTGTTGGTCGACGTCTATGGTCGCAGCTCCGCTGCCCAGGGCTCATAGCATGTGTTGAAAATATGCCCTAGAGGCAATAATAAAATGGTCATTATTATATTTCTTTGTTCATGATAATTGTTTATTATTCATGCTATAATTGTGTTATCCGGAAATCGTAATACATGTGTGAATACATAGACCACAACACGTCCCTAGTGAGCCTCTAGTTGACTAGCTCGTTGATCAAAAGATAGTCATGGTTTCCTGACTATGGACATTGGATGTCATTGATAACGGGATCACATCATTAGGAGAATGATGTGATGGACAAGAACCAATCCTAAGCATAGCTCAAAGATCGTGTAGTTGTTTGCTGTAGCTTTTCCGAATGTCAAGTATCATTTCCTTAGACCATGAGATTGTGCAACTCCCGGATACCGTAGGAGTGCTTTGGGTGTGCCAAACGTCACAAGTAACTGAGTGACTATATAGGTACACTACAGGTATCTCCGAAAGTGTCTGTTGGGTTGGCACGAATCGAGACTGGAATTTGTCATTACGTATGACGGAGAGGTATCTCTGGGCCCACTCGGTAATACATCATCATAATGAGCTCAATGTGACCAAGTGGTTGATCACGGGATCATGCATTACGGTACGAGTAAAGTGACTTGCCGGTAACGAGATTGAACGAGGTATTGGGATACCAACGATCGAGTCTCGGGCAAGTAACGTACCGATTGACAAAGGGAATTGTATACGGATTGATTGAATCCTCGACATCGTGGTTCATCCGATGAGATCATCGTGGAGCATGTGGGAGCCAACATGGGTATCCAGATCCCGCTGTTGGTTATTGATCGGAGAGGCGTCTCGGTCATGTCTGCATGTCTCCCGAACCCGTAGGGTCTACACACTTAAGGTTCGGTGACGCTAGGGTTGTAGAGATATTAGTATGCAGTAACCCGAAAGTTGTTCGGATTCCCGGAATAGATCCCGGACGTCACGAGGAGTTACGGAATGGTTCGGAGGTAATGATTTATATATAGGAAGTCTAGTTTCGGTCATCGGGAAGGTTTCGGGGGTCGCCGGTATTGTACCGGGACCACCGAAAGGGTCCCGGGGGTCCATCGGGTGGGGCCACCTATCCCGGAGGGCCCCATGGGCTGAAGTGGGAGGGGAACCAGCCCCTGATGGGC